CTGATGAAACTGTTTAGGTCTCACTAGCGAATAACAATGTATAAGCTGACAATGGAGTCCACTTAAATCAAACATGGGCAATCGAAAACACTGCTAAACCAAAGAAAATTTGATGGTCCCATAGCCTAGATGTCGGTTGAAGCGGACTTCATAAGCTTACTTTTATTCCTGCTACACAAGCAATTCTTTGTTTTGTTTAAAGTTTTACAGCGTGCACAACTGCATAAGTCATATCGGCGTGCAGGACACAAGCTGTTGTTGGGTTTTTTCTCACTAGGCCTAGTTCACAGCACGGATTAGTTTTACTTTATGGTTGAAGTTTAAAATTTATGGTATTAATTTAATAGTAAAAACAGTCATTTCAGAAATAAAAGGTCAACTATCTACTTCTTTGAGTAAAGAACAAGTGGCCTTTATAAAATTGAGAATCATGCTGGGACAAACGATGGAGAACAAATTGTTTTAAGTGAGTACATTTGAAATATTTCTTTCAGGCCTTTCGAAAGTCCAGACATTCAATTAAGGATGTGCCTGGTGGTAAAATCGGCATGGCATACAATGCAAAATAGCTTTTCATCTCCCTTCAGGAGTTCTTTATGCTCTGGGGAGGTAGTAGGCCTATGTCTTTGATAATTGCTCATAGTCGAGGAAGCGTTTCGCTTTTGTTTTTCACGAGTGTGTGTGTTGTTTTTTTCTTCAGTATAGTTTCTCTTTGCCAAAAAATCTCCTTCAAAATCAGTTGAAAGTAGATTTACATATTATAGGACTCCTGTGTTGAATTCAATCGCCAGGTGAATCGCAACAAGGGCATATTCAGCAGAATTGTCAACCTTCTTCTATGTAGTAATAGTACGAGCGTAGCATGTCCTTTTTGAAGTGTAGCTTTCCTGGCAGACTCTCGGAAAACTATCTTTCTTGCTCTATGAATTCTCAATCACGTGTGATACCCAACTTTTAGCAAATCAGTACCCAAAAAGATCATAAAAAGAGTGCTTTGGTGCTCTTCGGTGCACAGCTGTAGTAAGATGACGTCACGCTTTTAATGAAGCCATAGAACATCCGCTGAATATCTCAATCATGAAGCACGCAAAAATGTCTCCCCGAAATGGACAGGAAAAAAATAAACATCGAAAGACCAGCTACGGGTGAAACTAACATCACAAGAACCTGAGCCATGACGAGCGAGGTTCCATTTGACGGTGCTGCTGGGTGCTGCCTAGGGCGTCCCAAATCGACAAGCACCCAGGATGCTGCTATGAAAAAACTTCTCAGCGCTCAGGCTTGTCAAGTTCTTGCAGAGCTGAGGAAAACTGGGGAGCTATGTGATGCCATCATAAAGGTACATGTAGCTATATCATCTGTGACGTAAGGCGTATCAAGGCAGATGCTCAACGGAAGGTGGAGTGTTGGGGTGGGGGGGGGGGGGACAAAAAAATAAAGGGGAAGGGGAGGGGGTAGCTGAATACCAAACACCTATGATTTCACTCTCGTAGGTCTTGCAGGAGAAAGTTGTTTTGATTTTTTAAAGGACTCATTGCCATATTTTTATTGTAGGCCTAATTACTGGTTTTGTAAGTGTTTCTAAAACGTCCAATAGACTCCAAATAAAATCAAACTGGAGGTATAATGCTTCTGTCTTCTCTCTCTCTCTTTCGCTCTCTCTCTCTCTCTCTCTCTCTCTCTCTCTCTCTCTCTCTCTCTCTCTCTCTCTCTTTCTCTCTCTGGCCTTCCCCAGGCTGAGTAGGATACATCATCCCAGCAGACAGACGATAGATAACTTCCTCACACAGAAATCGAACCCGTGTCTCCTGCGTACAAATGCAGAGACCAACAACTACTACTACACCAACGATATCGGTTGATATACTGCTAAATATTTGGAAAGAGGCACAATGTGCTTGCCATTGTTGCTATTATTTACTCTTGATACGTTCGTGTGTGACTACAGAAACTTTTCTGAGTTTGTTAGTTTGTTTGTTTGTTTGTTTTGTTTGTTTGTTTGGGGTTGCCTTCAGATTTGCCCGTAACCTTATATAATAAGTGTCGGGTTTTTTTGTTTTTTTAGTTTTTGCCTTTTTAACGTGTGTGATGATGTCGATCACTTTTGACTGAAACAGAAATGCTTTCTTAACAACTATATATATATATATATTTCAGATAGAAGACTGGTCGTTCCCAGTGCATAGAAACATCTTGTCAGCGTGCAGTCCTTACTTCCGAGCACTTTTCACCAACGCCCGATTTGAACAGAGTGAGCAAGAGATCCGGATCACCGGTATCAGCCCGGACAGCATGGCAGCCATCATAGACTACGCCTACACCAGACACGTCAAAGTAGACTGTTTTCTCTGTTGGCTGTTCCGTTTCCCTGAATATCATCAATAGAAACTGCTCACTTCTAGTTTTTCACTTTGAACTTCGTCTTGAACTTCTATGGAAGTTGAAATTTTGTCTCAAACGGCGGACCAGACAAAACGCCTGTTTTCTTTGTTACCGGTATTTTCAGGGTCTCATGAGCAGAGATGGTTCAACATAATAACGTAGCTGCAATGTGTATACATTGATTCCACTTTTATTTGGAAAAGCCTAGACGTTTTGAGGGGATGGTAAATGCTTTTCAGCAAAAGTATAATATGCCCCCCCCCCCCTCCTTTTTTTCTTCTTTATTTGCACATTTTTAACCAAGTCCGCGAATCTGGGGTCTCCAGTGGGTTGCAGCCTATCTTACAGAAACGGGAAACAGCGACATGTGACCTCGGGATACCTGAAGACGTGGGACATTGAGGGAAAGGGGGTTGGGGGGGGGTATAATTTCCTCTCATTGGTCATTCTAGCTTTGACTACCTGTTTACGAAGCCTCAATGATATGTTACATTTAACTGACTACACACACTTTTTAATAATACATGTAGCAGCATTTGTATAGCACATATCCCTCCTCGACAGCAAGCTCTATAAACGCTTTACACTTTATTATTACCCCAGCAGACCATAGAACACTCTTCAAAACATTCTCAGCTTCCTTCCAGGGAAGCATACTGTGCGATCAGCTGATTAAGCGCTCAAACACTAACAAACGGACAAGATCTTTCACTGTCTATTCCGAGGCAAATTAAGAAACAGTAAGGGAAGGTGTAAATCTGAAAAATGTGGGTTTCCTTCTAGTTACTTTTTTTTTCTCAGCCTAGATATTTGCTCTAGCTGAATGTTGTTTTACCAGTTGTGTTGTCATGTATCTTGTTTCGATTGTGACACTCCATTAGCTCAGTTGGTATTACACTGAACTGCGGAGCGGATAGCCCTTATTCGATTCTCCAATGGGACATTTTTGAAGTTTGGTTTCTTTGACGGGCTTTAAAGCTCTCCGCCCACTTGCCTTGGTCCTATTGGAAATAGACGTTAAATTCGGATGCCTTGCCTCTGAAATAATAGTGCAGATTTGAAAGAGGAGTTAATCTATACAACAACACGGATAAGATTTACCGCATGAGGACCAGGTCGTCAACAATTTAATACATCCTCGTAAAAATATACTTGTGTGCTACTTTCTAGTAAGACTACTAATATCCGTCACATATATCATGACCTAATTAATTGTACTGCAAATGCCATACGACGAATGAAATCTTATTTCAAGAATAGATTTGTCCTCGTAAAATTAGGCCTGTACAATGTACTTGTACGTTACAATCTTGTAACACTTCTAATATTCGTCACACGTATGACGTAATTGTATTGCAAATGCCGTAAAACTCGAACAATTTTTTTTCTTCTAGAATATTACATTTTTCCCCCGACAACAGCTCAGTTGGTCGAACATCGAAGAGCTTCTCCCGGCAGCGGACCGCTTCCTGGTTTCTGGCTTGATGAGACCGTGCTGCGACTTCCTCAAACGGAGCATCAACCCGGAGAACTGTATCGGCATCCGGAACTTTGCGCAGGCCTATTCGTGCCGAGACTTGGAGAAGGAGTCGTACAACTTCATACTCCGGAAGTTCCACGAAGTGTCCACCACCAGCAACGAGTTTCTGAACATGCCCATAGAGCAAGTAATGTGTTCAATTGTGGGAGGAGGGTGGGTGGAAAAGGAGGGTTGAAAAAGAGGGGTGGGGGGGGGTATGAATGTATTAAGATTGATTGATATATTTCTGACCTGGCTATATATATATATATATATATATATATATATATATATATATATATATATATATATATATATATATATATATATATATATATATATATATATATATGTATATATTAACCTTCATTTACTTTTAGTTAAATTTGTTCGATAACTTGGGGCGGGGGAGGGGGGATTGCCTTGATTGACAGTTCACTAGACTTTTTCTTTTATTATCTGCCTTGGAACAAATTGATCGCCTTGTAGTCTCCACCAGACACCATTTTGAAAAGGGACGTATGGAAGAAGGCATGGGAAGCAGAGGAAGGGGAAACGAGAGGAGGAGAAGGTGAAGAATAAGAATAGGGAGAAAGAGGAAGTAGAGGCAAAGAAAGGAGTGGTTACAGTTAATGATGATGATGTGATGATGATGATGATGATGATGATGATGATGAGGAGGAGGAGGAGGAGGAGGAGGAGGAGGAGGAGGAGGAGGAGGAGGAGGAGGAGGAGGAGTTTGGCTTTTGAAATGCGTTACTCATGGCCGCATTATTATTGAGGGATTCCTTTTGGTGCGTAATGGGTGTTGAATACAGTAAATCTATACAATTACCTTTTTAAATGTCACTCAAAAATCTTCTCTGAACAACAATCTGACAAATGATAACATTACACAGCACCTCATTTACTAAGTTTTTAAGAGTTTATAAGCATCACAATTTTTTTAGAGCAGTTGTGTGTGGTGGGAAGAAAAAGGATAAGAGAGGTGTCCCTTTTTTAATTTTGCCCCCCCCGCCCGCATTTTTTTTTTTGGGAGAGAAGGGGGGGCGCCCCGCCCCCGTGTGTGTGTGTGTGTGTGTGTGTGTGTGTGTGTGTGTGTGTGTGTGTGTGTGTGAGAGAGAGAGAGACATCAAATAAATGAGCAGCATATGGAAAATAAAGATTTATCTTATCGTATCTTAACTGTGGCTTTAAAACTGGGAAGGGGGGGGGGCTGTTTGTTTGTTGTTGTTGTTTTGTTTTGTTTTTGTTTTGTTTTTTGTTTTTTTTTTGGGGTGGGGGGGCTTAGTGTATAAATGCAGGTTATATACTGGAGTACTTTCCCTTTATTTAGCTCTGCGAGATCTTGGATTCTGACTACCTAAACGTTCGCAACGAGGAAATGGTGTTTGATGCCGTCATCCGCTGGATTGACCACAGTCCGGACGCACGGAAGCATGAGATAGCCAGGCTTCTTATGTGCATCAGGCTAGGGATCATCACAACAAGAACTTTCATCGAAAAGGTATCCAGGGGAATAAATTATGCGCTCACGCCCCCAAGATCTGAAATGTTTTGCCCAGTAGTTCAAGACTAACCAAATCTCTGTATTCATTCAAACTTCTGCTAAAGTCATATTTGGTCGTTTTTAAGGACAAGCGAGCAACCCAGATTTCGGGGGTTTCCTGAAATCTGGACCTACACCAAAAGTGGGCATAATATTGCCCTACCTATAGGAGAAGTTTAGTTTCATTGGTGTGTATATTTGTTTGGTTTTAGAGAAAACTCTCCTTGACTTTCAAAGAAACTTAACAAGGGGCAAAAACTTAAACTTCGATTTTGTCAGAACAGCATTTTTCTGGGTAGCCCGCTTGTCTTTAAAAGCGACCATTTCTGTTGTTGTTTGTTTGTTTTTTGGTGGTTTTTTGTTTGTTGTTTTTTTAAATTATTAATGAGATAATATATAGACTTCAAGACAGCAGACACTGTACGGTTTTGGGGTTTTTGTTTCATTGTAAAGGGCTCAAAGCTCGTGTACTTTTACCAGGGTTGAGCGCTATCGTATAAATGTCATATTAATTTATTATTTATTTCACTGTCGAGCCTCTCTAATACGGGGTGTTCACTACGGATGGGATCGGCCGATCGGGCCTATCACGGGACTTGGTCGCCTCAAAAACAAACGTGTTTGTTTTCAGTTTCACACACACACACACACACACACACACACACACACACTATACTCCCACACATGCTCACATTAAAACGCGCAGACACATTAACACACACATACTTTAACGCACACACAAACGCACACACACACACACACACACACACACACACACACACACACACACACACACACACACACACACACTAACTCACTTTGTAAACACAGATAGATAGAGAGAGAGAGAGAGAGAGAGAGAGAGAGAGAGAGAGAGAGAGAGAGAGAGAGAGAGAGACAGAAACAGAGAGACAGAGAGACAGAGAGAGAGAGAGAGAGAGAGAGAGAGAGAGAGAGAGAGAGAGAGAGAGAGAGAGAGAGAGAGAGAGAGAGAGAGAGAGAGAGAAGTGAGTGCCTTTGCACACCGCAACGATCACGGCTCGCTGTTTCTGTTCCTGCACAAGACAGTTCCACCCCACATGTGTGGTCGCTTCTAAGGACAAGCGGGCTTACCCAGATTTCGGGGGTTTCCAGTAATCTTGACCTACACCAAAGATGGGCATTACCCCACCTTTAGGAGAAATTTGGTTTCACTGGTGTACATATTTGTTTAGTTATAGAGAAAACTCTCCTGGTCTTTTAAAGAAACCGAACAAGGGGCAAAAACTTTACCTTCGATTTTTCTCAAAACAGCATATTTTCGGGATAGCCCTCTTGTGCTTAAAAAGGGACCGTATAATTATGTGAACACACATAAACTTACCAGGTGAAGCCCCATAAGTACGTGAAGGAGTGCGAGGCAGCGAAATCCATCGTGGTGGAGGCCCTGCGCCTCCTCTGTGACCTAGACTGGGACGACCAGCGAGCCACAGACCCGTCCAACCGCATGTCCCGGCCCCGGGTGCCCTACGAGCTGCTCTTCGTGGTCGGAGGCTGGAGCGGCGGGACACCCACCAACCTTGTGGAGGTCTACGACACCAAGGCTGATTCCTGGGTGGTCTCCAAGCATCACGACGTTGGTAGGTCCTTAGTCCTTGTATTTGAAAGTGTTTTAGTGGGAGTTTTACGTCATTTGTAACACAATTAGGTCATACAGGCTCTTTCGAAGAAAATCGCGTAGATATAAAGTAAATTCTGCACGACAGGAAAAGTTTCCATCCGGTAAATACTTGTCACCTCAGTGAGCCGTGGGTAGATGTTTGAAGAAAACCATTGTTATAATTCAGGCTAGGCTCTGGAGAAGGAAAAAGGACTCATGCTTGTTCAATTTGAGTAGAGACGCGTGTGTAACTTAAATGGGGTCTCTACCTTTGGATTTTACACAAAGTTAGAAGACAGGGCACGACAGTCGTATGCGAGCCGATCTTATGCTTGCTTTGGTAAGGCTCATTTTTGTGCGCCCTCCTCTTCTTTAAATATTTAACATATGTATCTTTTAAAAGCGTTTTTTTTTTTTTTACGAATAACGTTACAGCGATCCATATGAAGCCCAACAGTGAACGGAGATTCCAGAAGTGTGTAGAAAGTCAAGCAAGTTCTGAAAGAGGGCTCAAGTTTACTTTTGCCTTTGAACTAACAGAAAGGGTGTAGAATGACAGGAGCTTAGAGAAGTAGAGCTGGTAAGGTTCACTTGATGACAAGGAACAACGGACCAAAAATAATATAGCTTCGGACGCGTTCAAGAAACACGAAGCCTCGAGAAGTCTGTTTGTGTGATAACATGAACTCTATGTATACCACATCATCACGAGGTTCACTCACACTGCTATTTATTACGTCCAGATATTCAAGGGGGGTGTAGGTTTAAATATTTTAATTACTACAAAATGGGTTCATGTATTCCCGAAAGGATTGTTCTGTCCCTTACAGGTGCCAGGGCTTACCATGGCTGTGTCACCATCGACCATTGTATCTTTGTCATCGGTGGATTTGACGGCGTGGAGTACTTTAACAGCTGTCGAGTCTTCGATGCCATCAACAAGACATGGTCTGAAATTGCTCCGATGAACTCCAAAAGGTATCATGCCCAACGCTATTATATTTTTAAACTGTGTACTTATAACCCACTGCCTATCAGCTGAGCTTAATCCTTGTCGTCTAACCTAGAACTACATATTATAATATTCTGTTTATACTTTATTGATGCAAAATGGCGATGTTTATGCGATATCATAGTACTCTGTCGGCTTCCCGATGAAACATTATAACTTTGTAAAGTATACGAGTAAAATTTGAAGAAACCCTTTTTCACTAGGAGAAAAGACCTATACTAAACTCAGTGGCATCCGAAAGAAACCTTTAAAAATGTATTCAGCCAATCATCGTGTTCACCTCACAGTGGGAAGTTGTCTTGGACAGGCTCTACTCTATTAATAACGAAAGAGCTGTCCAGTGCCCATTGACACAATCGCTTCGGTTCCGTTCTGTTCGGTTCGGTTGGCCAGCCAGATTGAGGGCGCAAGGCGGCGGTCGTGGCACAAATCGATCTCCCGACTCGTTGCCTCAAAAACAAACGCGTTTCTTTTCAGGCGACGAGTCGGGCAATGGGTTTGTATTAGAAAACCGACCCCCCAATAGGCACTCCTTAGTATGTACTATAATGTCATTTGTGTACCAGGTGCTGTACAATACTGTCATTTGTGTACCAGGTGCTGTACAATAGTGTCATTTGTGTACCGGGTGCTGTACAATAGTGTCATTTGTGTATCAGGTGCTGTGCAATAGTGTCATTTGTGTACCGGGTGCTGTACAATACTGTCATTTGTGTACCGGGTGCTGTACAATACTGACATTTGTGTACCAGGTGCTACGTGAGTGTGGCGGAGCACGATGGTCTGATCTACGCCATGGGCGGCTTCGACGGACAGCTGCGTCTGCACTCAGTGGAGCGTTTCAACCGAAAGACAAACCAGTGGAGCTTCATTCAACCTATGAACCACCAGCGCAGTGATGCAAGGGCCACAACTATGGGCGGTGCGTATGGCTGCAGAGTGAGCCACGTCGTCATCATCATCATAATCACTATCATCATCATCATCATCAGCAGCAGCAGCAGCAGCAGCAGATCATCACCACCACCATCATC